TTGATTCATGCCACCGGTGAAACCAGCAACGGTGACTGAAAAATCAGAATCTCCCGCATAAGCCACATCCATATCGACAAGAATACGATCACGTCCAACATTATGCGTATAAACCTGAAATAAAAGAATTAATTCAACCCAAAAATTCTTGCTGCCGAGATTGTTCCGAGCGTTACAAAATCAATCAGAATCAGAGTCTAGAAGACAAAGAAAAAAATTCAGAAAGCTACGAAAAAATAGCGATTGAATTCATTAAAGAATGATCAAATTCAAAGAGAAACAAAGACCTTAATTCCTCCAACACGGCACGGTATATCCCCCATATCCATCTTGGTGAATTTGAAAGATTTGAACGGGGCTGGCATTTGGGCTCTTATTTGAGGCTCGATGAACTCACGCATGAAAGTTTTAGTATATTCACCGATATACGGCCATAATTGCAGAATTACCTCAAATAATGATTTCGTTAATACGCAATACTGAACATATTCATTACAAAAGATCAGAGGAAGCAAACTGGGAAGGGAATCTCCATAAACTCATTTAATCTGATGGGGTCAAGGTTGCATTCAAATCCATCGACTTATTCAATTTTTCAGGAGGCTGCAGGTTTCTATTGATCCCAAATTCAGAAAATGGAATCGGTTTTATAAAAACCTTATTGATCCATTCCACGCGTTCTGTATCTGGAAACTGTACCCATGCTGGCAGATCTTGTAGCTGTGCCATTATAACCTCAAATTAAAGTTTTGTACAGTACAAAGAAAGTGATCAATAAAAATATTCAAAAATGTATATGCATTTCAAAAATCAAATTCTCCACTCACCTCTCGTTCTCGAACTGCCGTTTGCCGTAATGCCATCAACCGCTTTTCACGTTTTTTCCACATATACGACTTCACCACATTCAGCAATGTCAATCCCAAAATCCATATGAATGAATAGTCGTTGCGTCCCAGCAGGTAACATACCTTAAATTTTACCCAAATCGTTACTGTTATAATGCACTTGTCTTGAATGAAAATAAATCATTTTCACGCGAAATTTAAAGAAATTCAAAATCTAAATTAAATGAACACTTCATCATCTGCTTGCTATCAAGCAAANGGCATGCAGATTTGCCATTTACACACAAATAACACGTATGAAATTTTGATGTTGATGTTGAGAGCAAAAAAATCGTTGAGATATTGGAAAAATCTTTTGAGTGGAAAATGAAAAAAAAGAAATTAGAAAACAAGAAAGAGGGAAAATTACCCCCATCAGAGCAAGCCCACCTCCGACAGGTAACACATAACTTTGCCATACCATCTCGTCTCCTACCGGCCTGTCACACCCCGTCGTTCGACTCCCTACAAGCACTACTAGATGACTCAAACATCAAATCAACCAAAAATCCAAAATTCATCTATACAAAAACATTCTAAAGTACACATTTCATCTAAATACATATCCCACTACTCATAATTCTCGTTTGCTTGTCCAACGCTAACTTGTGATTTATTTAATTTATTTTTTCCAATGCAATTCTATTAAATTGTTCTAGTTTTTTTGAAAAATTACGACAAAATAATATTCCACTAATCGAAAGAACGGGGAGAGCACTTCTGTTGTTTGATTAAACACACCAGAAAATTATGATAAAACGGAAAACGTAATAAAATTCGAGAGAACGAAGAGATAAGAAAGCAAAGACCGGAAGACACATCATCTGGTTCGCTGCTACTCACCGCAACAGCGAACTGCATAATTCTATGGTTATTGATCATTTGCAAACAACATCACAGAGCAACTTGACTGGCGTCGTTGAGTTTTACTACAATCAAACATATTGCTGCATTTCGTCGGGATTTTTTATGGATTTCGAAGAAATGTTCTTTTTATGGCAGCACTAACAGCTGGATCAATACAGCCAGCAGTAGCCTCTAGTGAGCAAAAATCGTTACTTATTTTTATTATTTGTTACTATCGTAAATGTATTATTATAAATCATTTATTATAAGTAATATTATTATAAATTATTGAATAATAATGCTAACATAAAAGTATTTATTATAAATAATTTTGTTTTAATAACAGTCACAAATACATTGACCTAACAAATAAATACATTCCAGTCATGTAACTCAGTGAACACATAAGTTTATAGCAATATGCTTCAAATCGCTGCTTTTGTCTATGCGAAAAGAATTTGTGAGTGAGTGGTTAGCGGATGAAAATAATGAGTGAATACTAGTGGAGAATTTGAGACTGCATGGGGAATGCTTTCGAAATGACCATCGAATATGAAAAATGACAAATTATCCGACAAAAATTTGAGCAATTGCTCTTAAATGTACTAGGAAACATTTGAAGAAATGAATTTGAAAAGAGACACGCCAAAAAGGAAACATTCAGAAAAGTGCACTAAAGTTATAAATGAGAACGGTGTCGAAATGAATATTTGAGAAGAATTTATCATGATGAATAAGACGAGAAAAATCAATAGAGCCATGTGGATAGATAGAGAATAGGCAAAGATGATTTCGAACGAATTATTGAAAGTAAGAGAAATCAACTAAACTTTAAATTCTTACACAAATTTCTTTCATTTCTAACATAATTCACATTCTTGAACGAGTCAATAACAAGAATTGGTTGTAAGAANTTAAGAAGAGCACATTCAAATGGTTTCATCACAGTGTTTGATGAGATTTAGAAAAGATTCTAGCGAAAGTCAGTGATACCGTCCTCGACGAATAAACAATTCAAGAAGTTCTATATAGGAACAAGCACTTACAATTGTTGATCATAATCAGTTCAGTTGCTGAAAATCACATCCACTTCGAAATCACATCCACATTTCGATGAATCGCTTTCGTTTCATCAATTAACTCTAGGTTAAAAGTCAAACAGATTTTTATGCCGTTTACGATCTCAACATCTTGCGATGAAATCAATTGAACGAAGAAGAATTTATGTTGTGTTGATTGCCGACGATGAAAATTTATTAGATGTAAGGTTTCTTTAATTAATTTAACGTTCTAAATTAATTTCTCGTAAGAATAAGATGGAAAAATTTTTTTGTTCTATGGAATTGGCGGATAAATTCTCTAATTTTTCAAAAAATTTCGATGAAAACGATTCGACGATCACCACGCCAGACGAGTGATTTTCGTAAACTCAAGCCATTACCACACACCAACTAAAATAGAACACAAACGAACAGCTGCATAAAATTGATTGAGAGAAAGAAATCAACTGAAACGTTCGTTTTTTTCGGTGTGTGATATATCACCATCGGCTATGATAGCTATTGATTGGATTAAGCGAGATTTATGGAATGCACTGATATCTGATCATAAAACAAGTATGCCGTTGTGATGATGAGCTGTTCCATTTAGTGATCAAACAAACAAATACGTGGGAGGTGATCAGAGCTGACAATACGAATGAATGTTTCGTGAAATCATGAAGTGTTCATCAAGTGGTATTGCGTAAAGCCTCTCTCAAACCAATGATAATATTTTCAACTCTTTCGACTTAACCAAACTGCCATTGAACAATCTGAATGTATTATTTCGTTGGACAATGTCTATATGGGTCGGAACAAGAAAATCAGTCTCAATGATATGAGTAATCTCAATCGCCAACGATAAATTCTGCATATGTTACAAATTACTACCAGTTGTAAACAATATCTCACGATCAGCACATTAAAGTGCATCAGAATATTCGATGCTCAGAGAACATTTGTAAATTCAGCTGCACTGCTGGAATAACTAACTATAAGATAGTTATCATTTTTAGAGTGTAATATGATGCAAACGCGCCACTTCATAATCATCACTATAATCATTATTGCTTTCATAGTCAATTGATGACTAATGATAACAATCAACAATTTAGCGAACAGGAAATGTGGGAAATTTATCAGTAATCAATAAATAAAATTATCCAGTTTTTATAATCATTAACTAGATCACTTCTAAGAGACGCAAGCTAGAAATTAAAAAGATCTGACATAACGTTGGAATTGGAGCTGTCGGAGCAGATGAAAAACCAGTCAACCAATTCATTTTATTCATCAGAATGTTTTGAGGTACTCTAATTGTAAGCAGATGTATCAAATTTGCATTGATAATGCCAGATGAAACTCAGCAATATTGATAGAATTACAAATTACAAATATTCCTTAAGATAAATTGAGAACATCTAATATAATTACCTGAAGTTTTGTTTTTTCGATTTGTTGGATAGGACATATTTGAATGATTCAAATATGAACTGTACAATAAAAATTGAATCAGCAGCACACTGAACAGAACGGTGAGCAATACCGACCGAATACAATAGAAAAACGAGTGAAGAGCACTGGTGAATGAATGTGTTCTGAATGTTTTTCAGACTGTGAACACGGCCAGCAATGATTTGTACAACAAAACTGTTTGCATTATAAACGCTGATTTCTATGCAAAAAATGTTGCATTCCATCGTTGTAAATGAATTTGTTAGCTTATCGCTCAGTTCATCTCGTATCGTTTCAATGCTTCTTTTATCAAGATCTCTGCTCATCAACCTATCATACGTTGACGTTTTCTTATCATAAGAATTGTTCAGTTATGACCATTCCAATTGTTCATTCCTCATTTCAATAAGCGTTTACTACTCGTCCTTTGTTATCTTACATGCGTTCTCATTGCATTCACACTGAACATTTTAACGTGAACAAGCGGTCGTTGACATTGCTAAACCTTGAAAATTTTCAGGACATTATTCACAACGTTTGTTCGATAGCCATTCGATGTGACCTCCATTGTGATCGGTTAAAAAACACAAATTTAATGGAGTTGTGAATCAAATGTTATCATTCCGAAATTTTTAGCTCTGTTTAATGCGGAAAGCGTGAAATCTCATCACTTCCCACAACGATTGAACGTTTCATAGTGTCGTTTCATTTGCAATCCCCATTCGTAATTGTAGTGCAGGCTGTCAATTGCGAGACTGTGAATTTGTCCTGATTCAGTTATAGAATTGTACGTAAAAACGAAATCTCTTTGAAATTCGGATAAGTGGTTCAGTGATATTCGATTTGTATGCCTTTCCTTGGAACTCATTTCCAGGGAGGTCGGTTTTTACTGTTTGATGTAAATATGAAAAACTACGCGTCAAGGGGGATGACTTAACTGTATCCATATCAAAAGCATGTTCACCTATTGAAATTCATTGCTTAAAAGTGTTCTAATCGATTCATTAACTCCTCATTTGTTATTCAACCTAACATAAGGCAACTCATTGTAACTGTTAGACATACTAGAACGCTCGTCAACGGATGAAATCTAATTTGCATACTTCACGAAATAACTTTGGATCATCCAAAAATCTTCATTTTAAAAATGCACTACAAAGTAGAATGCCGGATCATAAAGCAATCGTAATGTTCGTGTAAAATAGTGCTTTTCATCATTAACCTATTGGACGAAAAGCATTCTTTCAAAAACGCTCAACCCATCAAAAGCTCCACGAATCGTTGATCTTAAAATTTTATGATCAATTTTATTTTTCGAACAATTTTACGATCAGATGCTGTGAAATAATTGTGAACAATTCAAGCTCATATAAACCATACGCATCTGTTTTTCTGACTGAATCTTCCTCTCAAAACGTTTTGCTACCAAAATTACTATGAATTTATCGCCCGTTCAAAATCGATAAGTTCTCGAGGATATCAAACGGAATCGTTTTCCATCGTATGCAACTAGGCAAAAAAGCAGCAATGTTTGCAAATGTAAACTTGTTGAATAAACAGAAACTTGCTATCATTTGATTTTTTAACCTCATTGAAGCAGTTGTTTCTTTTGTTTAATGACGACTTTATCAGACATAATCTTCACTTTAAGAAGTGTTTATATTTGTCTACTTCATTCTCAATGACATAATTACATTAAATCTGTGCTTGTAAGTGTATCTTGTTTAGGCTCATAAGCATACCTGAGAAGATCAATTCAATGAACATATCATTCCAAGAGCTGTGTTTAGATCTTTCAAGATAAGACCAAAAATATCATACTTTCGGAAAACAAGTTGACTACCCATGAAAGGCATTTATGTTAATGATGACAAAGTGTCCAATACTTTCGTACAAATCTCAGGTTTGACTCATATTCCCCTCACATCTTCATAAGTATGATAGTTTTGCAGCAGATATCATGTATCGCATCATCCCAGCTGTATGATCGTTGTTTTTTCTATCGCAGCAAATCAAAATTTTCTTCTATCACATTTTGAGCATCACAGTCATGATGAATTCACCGTCTTGTCGTCATACACAC